ATATGTACAATGTGCATGTAAATGAACGGTGAAAAGCTGGTATGTGCTGACATCTACATCTATACAAAAAAATAGTGTGTACTACATGTATCTGTTGGAATTTCAAAATTGCCTTACCTCTGACTTTGCTTCCTTGTCTTTCACTGTTGGGGGGAAAAGGAGAAAATGAACACCCAAGTTTGACCAGCAAAATATTTACAACTATGCACAAATACATGTGCCTTTTCACTTGAATCTATGGATCTTAATATGCTCCAGGCTAAAGTTGATAGACATGTGTTATGAACAGCTAGCTTCCATGTCAGACCCACATTTAAAGTACCTGTAAGATAAGACATGACAAGTATATTTGCCTACCTGCTGTGATGACTCTCTCAGCTATGTTCACACTCCCATCAACATCCTGTAGGTCCACCTTCCACAAGGGAACCGGAGTGTCTGACTTCATCTGCAAGAGGATGTCATTGCCCCGGCTAAATATTATCTAACACAATCAAGTAAACTATAAACTAAAAACTCTATCTACATTTTGCATCTATAAGGTGTCTGCATATACTGGTGGTACTATAAAACTATGTCCTGAAATGTTTTTGTACTTTTCTGTCAGACTGTAAGAGAGCAAAACTAATCACTAAAAATTACTACTGCACAATTTGAAATCAAACATCAGGTAACATTGAGTGTTGATGCAAATGGTGGATACCTCTCTTTCAAAAGTACATGTGACCTTCTTGTGTGCTGCCAGGTCTGAGAACAGCCATCTGGCCTCTCTGGGAATCTCTTCTGTCTCGTCCTTGAAGAACGTGCATGCTACAGCCTGGCACGGTAAAAGTAAGCTCACTGATAACACAGTAATTTTTCCACATAGATCTATGGGCTACATTAATTCTGTTTATAACAAAGTTTAAGACAAATTAAAAAAACTGTCATCAGGAGTCTTATTGTCCAACTGGTGTCTTGCCTCTTTATCTTCTGAAAGACCCCTGAACTATCAGAATTTTCTTGCTTTCATTCACATACAGTACAATAGGCACAGGCAGAGCTCTAACCTGAAATGGTAGTGTTGGCAGGTTTGCTGGCAGCTCTGCCAGGTTGGTTAGAGGGACAGTCTCCACAGTACCATAGTCAAGTAGGCGTACAGCTGCTTTATCCTAGGATAAGGTAGACATATGATATTAATTCAAGGCAACAGCACACAACAGCAAATACAAAATGACAGTAAAGATGATTTCAGAGACAATCTAACAGCAAGCTCTCCATTGGAGTGTAAGATAAAGTCAGTATCATTAGCACATTTATAAATCTATAACAGAGAAACAACAATTATATTCTGCACCAGACGACAAACTAATCACGACTGGGTTGATCTAAGAGAAGTCCTGCTATGTTTAGTTAGACCATCATACCTTCCTGAGTTCTTCCACGAGTCCCCGGTACCACCCCATGTCCCCCGGATGTCTGACTGCACACAGTGAACCCTCACTGCCTGTCCACTCTCCTAGGGTCCCAAGTACACCGGCTCTCCTACAAATACAGTCAAACAAACTGTATTTCACATACTCCCAAGATATTCAGTCCAATTGTGCGAGATTTCGCTCTAGCAATAGTTCGTGGTCTGAGAAAATCTTCACAGAACTATATGTTTGGTAGGTGCAGCAAAAAGAAAGTCAACGAATCATCTGTTCACGGTAATGATAAGTTTGCGGCACAGAAGTGACTGTGGAAACCACAAATACAAAAGTGCCAAAAAAAAAAGCAATTTACAGAATTGACAAGGATAGACCAAACCATTGAATGAAAATCGACTGGCTGATGGTAGGGTAGAATTTCAGGTGGAAAATTTGCTCAACACTTTGTTGATTCTGGTGATCAAAAAAACATGGCCAAAGCTTGTTGCCTGCATGACAGCGGTTTTACTACTCTATGGTGCAAATGATGCTGTACCTGATATGAAGACACATAGCTGACAGTGTCTCTCTGGTGGGTACATCGAGGTCCTGTCTAACGTAGAAAACACCCTTGGCAGACATCCTGCTCTCCACCCAGACTGACAGCTCTCCTCCTCTCGTCACTTGGAGAGTGCTTCCCACTTCTGTCTCTGCTTGGATGCACAGATAAAAAATATTTCTATGCAAATTAGAAGTTACAAATTATTTCGAGATAAAAAGATGCTAAGAATCTCCTTAGATAATTTAAGTCAAATTTAACTTCAACACCATATTTTACAAGCCAGTAAGCAAGTTTTCTCTTTTCTTTTTGGTAGAAAACTCCAGTTTTATGTATTCACAGTATCATACAGAATAGAACTGACCTATGTTGTCTGATGGTGCAGGTGTGACTGTGAGCTGCCATTCACTGATGGCAGTCAGAACAGAGCTGACATCACAAACAAGCTGGATATGCACGTCTGGGAACTTTGTCTCAAACTCTCTGAGTGAGGGCAATTCCAGCTGAAAGCAAGACAATGAAATACATTTTACACAGAGAGACATTATGTCAGGTTAACATTAATTCATTGTTTCCAAGTGCCATGTTCCATTACAACACAATGACAACATTTCCACCAGTATCATTCATTGAATGTTCCTCTGTACTTCCAAAGGTGTTGACTGAGTTTTAAGTTACCCATGACATTACACTACATGCACCTCTTCAGTCACTTTCCTCTGAGTTTTTAAATTCAAAGGAAAGTGACTTAAAAGCACTGTAGTTTCAC